CATTTGATTTGTCGAAATGGTGAGCTTACACGTTCGTTCCGTTGTGCATGGCCTTTTCAAAGAGAGTATTGTTGCGCGTGGTTTTGCAACACATTGTCGTTTTGAATCACTCCCTTGGGAAGGCTCTCGCATGGGATTTTCCTTGCGGCGGTCTTAAAATAATAACAGTCTCTGTTGTGTGCCCTCCTGGTAGTAGACCGGGGGGGAACCATCGAGCATTAAACATCCATTGAATTCAAGTATCGCGAAGGTTGTCACTAACAACTTGAGTCCCGCTCCTTCTGTATAGTTCATACATGGTTGTATGCAGGTATGTGTATGTATGTGTATATATAATAGGTGTGCATGTACGCGTGTGTGCAATCAGCACGTGTCAGCGCTGACACGCAAGCCAGCATCAACAATGCAGAAGCACACAATGTTCGAACACGTGGGTGCGTAAGTCATACATAAAACATAATGTGATACACATGCGCGCAGACACAATATATGCATACGAGATGTTTCAGGTCGTAGCGTCAGGACCATCTCATCAGCGCAGCATGGCTAATCTGTAGTGTTACGTGGGCAAGGTGCACGCGCATTGCATTTGGCCCGTGAGATGTGTGAACATGCCGTGTGTTTGCTAGGTGCGTTGCTGCACGGGGTAGGGATGCTTTCTGTGTTTGATCGTATAGTTACAGTGGTGCGAAGTGGCGTCTGACGCAGACCTGCATAAGACCTCGCGCCCCTGTGGAGATGTCGACGGCGCAACCGTCGCCGGTGTCGTGCGCCCCTTGCGCGGCCGAGCGGAGCGGTGTCCTAATGCAGACACCACGCTCTGCCTGGAAGGCCAAACATGCCGGGAATTGGCCACGCAAATGCATGCATCTTGGGCTTGATGCGTCGGTGTGCCCAACTAGTGTTTCGCGTAAGGCGAAATGGCCCGACGCAGGCCAACCGCTGCAAGCGAGGTAGCGGAGATTTTGAGCGTTGTCCTATTCCAAGAGTCGAGGTATGTTCCGTTGTCCCTCTTATTCATTTGGCGGGCGCAACCCTAACTACGCACATCTTCTAAGCGATAGGTGTTGCTGCTTGCCTGCGCAGTTACGACCTACCTGAACAGGTACACATAGCTATAGGTTAATCGGTGTTTAGCCAGTCTTGCAGACCGGCCACCCCTGACCCTGATCTTAGGCATCAGGTGAATCAACTACCTGCAAAAGTATAAGTATCCCCTCGTTGCGGCTCAACGGTCGATAATCGATCCCACGGACAATGCCAGGAAGGAAAGGGGTCTTGATGGAAACGGGTCTCAGGACCAGCAGTTCATCCTGAGTTGCTCTGTGCCGGCCAGGCCCTGTTGAGGGTCCGAGACAGGCGAACACAAATTCAGGACCTCTTCCTCCTGGACCCGCTTCTTTCTTAGTGCTAGGGGAACTTTCCAGTCGCGGGGCCTCCGAACTCCTGGCAGACGGCCAGTGGCGGGCCTCCTTGAGTAAGGGAGGCCCAAGACGGCCCCAAGATGGCCTCAAAGGTCCTCAAGACAGCCCAAAAGGCCCCAGGATGCGTCCAAGGCGGTCCCTTAGGCTTGTTCAACGGCGGCTCATCGCTCCCACGAAACCTCGGGGGCTCCAAACCGGTGTGGTGATCAATACCAGGCGATTGTGGCCTCCAAGGTCCCAACATTCTGTGGTGACGGACCGTGCGGTGAGGTCTTGTGGGATTTCGAGGTCATCGCACTGTCTGTCACCGCATCGTCAGAGGACTTCTTAGGATTGGATTCTAATTTTTTTCCAGCATGAAACATCTATCCCTGTGATTGGCATCGCCTACCTCGGTGCCAATCTGAAGGATTCCCTCAGCATCTTAGGGCACATCCATGTGGTCGTCATTACGTTTGGCTAGTCGACCTTAGTCAGAGCCCCGAATCATCAGGGGTACCTCGGGTCAGGGCTAACTCGGGTTCGTTTTTCGGAAATCCGAACCCGAGTTGTCCTGGGCCCGAGTTACCCCGGATAATTCGGGCGTCCAGAGCCCCGAATCATCAGGGGTAACTCGGGTCAGGGCTAACTCGGGTTCGTTTTTCGGAAATCCGAACCCGAGTTACCCCGGGCCCGAGTTACCCCGGATAATTCGGGCGCCCAACTTAGAGAGAAAGATAAACTCGAGGCTGGGTAACCTCCCCGCCGCGCCGTCCAGTCCTTGCGCCGGCGGCCCCTCGGTGAGCGCTCCGCCGCGGGCGCGGGCGTCACGCTGGTTGACGCGCGCGCGCACCTGCGGCGCGGGCTTCAGGCCCGCCGGCCGCCGCCGCCGCTGTCGTCGTGGTCGTGGTCGCTCGTCGCCGTCGTCGCCGTCGCTGTCGCCGTCGCCGTCGTCGCCGTACTTGTCGTCGTCGGCGTCGGCGGCGTCGGCGTCATCATCGTCGGCGGTGGCGCCGTCGTCGTTGAGGTCGAGGTCGAGGTCGAGGTCGTCGTCGGTTGTCCTCGCCGTCGTCGCCATCGCCGTCGATGTCAAGGTCTTCGTCGAGGGTGTCTTCGCCGTCGTCGTCGCTGTCGAGGTCGAGGTCGTCGTCGAGGACGTCTTTGCCGTCGTCGTCGCCGTCGAGGTCGAGGGCGTTTCCGTCGAGCGTCGTTGCCGCCGACGTCGTCGAGCTCGGGTCGAGGTTGTCGTCGTCGTCGAGGTCGAGGTCGAGGTCGTCGTCGTCGTCACCGTCACAATCGTCGGGTGTGGAGGTCAGGTCAGGTCGTCGTCGTCGTCGTCGAGGTCGAGGTCGAGGTCGAGGTCGAGGTCGTCGTCGGCGCCCGCCAGTCTGTGATTGGTAATTAGCCGAGGTGCATCGACAGTGGAGTTGTTGCTTGTCTATGCCTCCAGTGTTGACCTCGTCATTCCCCTCTCCCATCCCCCTCGTTCCTCCGCGGGCTCAAGTCGGGGCGCCCCTGGCCCGCGCTGGCTTCTGCCCGCGCGCAGGGAACGAGCGCAGATGTCTGCCGTCCGACGGCACCACCTCGTGCTGCCCTTCGGGCGACGGCCGCGCCGCGTGAAGCCAATAACGCGTCGCCAGTGCATCTCGCGTGCACGCTGGTGCAGTTCCTGGTGAAACCGTCGCGTTTCATAGGCTTCCCGCGGCTATCCCCGGCCGAGCGGGGCTGCGCACGGGCGGTCGGCGGGTTGCCCGGGAGCTCCGGCGCGACGGCACTTGCCTCTGCTGGCTCGTCCTTCACGCTCGAGGCACGATGGGTGTGGCGCGAGTCTGTGCCACCACTGGGGGTCAGCGAGGCCCGCCCATCCTTCGGGGACGTGACACCTGCAGCAGGTGTGCGGTTCGTCTCCAACTCGGGACGGCCGCTCTCGAGACGGGGGGCGCACACCGCGGACGGCGGAGGCCTCTGGGCCTCGTGGCCACTATCGGGGGGCTGGCGCACGAACCTTGACACGGACCAGAGCGACCGACGGCGCCAAGGCCGTGCCCCCCTCGCCGAGCGAGCGTCGAGGACCTCGGGGCCTCCCGGGGCCTCGCGGGCACCTCTTGAGGCCTCCGCGGAGCTTGCCCAGAGGCCTCCAGGAAGCCTCGTGCACCAGGCGCCCCAAGCGCCCATCGTCCTGGCCCCAACGGGTGCCGTGGCAGCGGCGGGCGGGGGGGACGGGGGGAGGAACGGAGATCCCATGCACCGCCTCCTTACGCCCCCCGGCGCCCCCCGTGGAGTGCCCCAAGCATTCCTCCCGGACTGGCGATGGCCCGGTGAACCAACGGCGGGCTCGTGGTTTCGACCGTTGGGTGCGGACGTCTCGGTGCTCGCTTCGACGGACCAGGCCCCTGGGCCGCTTCGGGCCTCGGCTCGGCTCCTGGGACGCCCCCCCCCAGATCGAGGAGCAGACATACGGGAACAACAAGTGGCACAAGCATAAAAACTCGGAGGTCCGGGCGGATTCTCGGATCCGCGCTGGGGCCCCCCGGCGGCGCCTCCGGCGCCGCCCCTGGCGCGCTCCGCGCGCCAGGGGGGCGGGGTCCAGCGCCGATCCGAGAAATCCGCGCGGACCTCTGAGTTTTTATGTTTGTGCCACTTGTTGTTCCCCTAAGACAGGGGGAGGGTCAGCCCAAGGTGGGGATTCAGCTCGGGCGCTGAAGCAAGGACCACTTTGGGAGGCCCAGGCGCGTCTCTGGCTCTCGGGCCGCTCCCTGGCTCTCGGTCGGGAGGAGCCGGTTCGCGGCCGAGGCTCGCCGTGGCCAGAGAGGGCCCTTTCGTGCCCTTAGCCGGCGTTCCCTGTGCTGTAGCACGATGGCTGCAGGTCAAGCAGTGGCGAAGCGTCCTGGCTCGCCCATAGCCCTACCAACAATGTTCTGAGAACCTTTTGTGGTATGCACGAAATGTTCTTAGAACGTTTCTGGCTGGGACTGTCTTGTTTTAACACATCGGGTTTATGTTCTAAGAACATTGTTTTTGTTCTTAGAACATTTTTGGGTTCGACGAACATTTCGTGGTAGGACTATAGGAATGCCGGGACGGTCGGTCCCTACTCAAACGATGTCTGTAGGGTTAAGTCGGGCCTGTCCCCCTACAGGTGGATTTCCGATGAAACATAAACAATGCTCAAAGATATGCCCAAATGGCCGAAAAATGTTCAAAAATCGTCCCCCGACTATTTTTTGATTTTTTTGGATAAGAGAGAGGGGGCTGAGCCAAACGGTCATTCACTGTCCCTGGGTGCGTGGCTGAAGTGGAATTCCGCGATGCGGATTCTTGTTGTTTGTTGTTTGTTGTTGTCGTCGTCCCCCACCCGCGCCCCGCCGCCCCGCGACCCACCCGCGACCCGCCCCGCGACCTGCCCGCGACCCACCCGTGGCCCACCCCGCGGCCCACCCCGCGACCCACCCGCGACCCACCCGCGACCCACCCGCGACCCACCCGCGACCCACCCCGCGACCCACCCCGCGACCCACCCGCGACCCACCCGCGACCCACCCAAGACCCACCCCGCAACCCACCCAACATTTTCGGCGCTTGCGGCGCGTTTCTTTTGCATCAGTCCCAGGTTGAGAACCTGCGACCCACCCGCGACCAAAACCGCGTTCAGTGTACAAAACCTAATTTTCCGCGCCTACGGCGGGCTGTTTTCGAATTCCTTCCAGGTGGAGGTGGAGAGCCCGCGACCCACCCGCGACCCAAACTACGTTCATTGAACAAGCCAAAACTTAGGCGCCTGCGGCGGGTTTCTTCTGCATCGGCGACCCACCCGCGACCCACCGGCGACCCACCCCGAAACCCACCCGCGACCCACCCAAGACCAACCCAAGACCCACCACGACCCACCCGCGACCCACCCAAAATTTTCGGCGCCTGCGGCGGGTTTCTTTTGCATTCGTTCCAGATGGAGAACCTGCGACCCACCCGCGACCGAAACCGCGTTCAGTGTACAAATCCAAATTTTCGGCGCCTGCGGCGGGCTGTTTTTGAATTCCTTCCAGGTGGAGGTGGTGAGCCCGCGATCCACCAGCGACCCAACCGCGACCCACCCAAAATGTTCGGCGCCTGCGGGAGGTTTCTTTTGCATTCGTCCCAGGTGGAGAACCTGCGACCTACCCGCGACCCAAACCGCGTTCAGCGTACAAATCCAAATTTTCCGCGCTTGCGGCGGGCTGTTTTCGAATTCCTTCCAGGTGGAGGTGGTGAGCCCGCGACCCAAACTACGTTCACTGAACAAGCCAAAACTTCGGCGCCTGCGGCGGGTTTCTTTTGCTGCATTCGTCCCAGATGGAGAACATGCGACCCAAACCGCGTTCAGTGTACGAATCCAAATTTTCCGCGCCTGCGGCGGGCTGTTTTCGAATTCCTTCCAGGTGGAGGTAGAGAGCCCGCGACCCACCCGCGACCGAAACTACGTTCATTGAACAAGCTGAAAATTCGGCGCCTGCGGCGGGCTGTTTTTGCATCCGTTCCGGGTGGCCCACCAGCGATCCCCCCCGCGCTGAACTTGTCAGAGACGCAAATCGGCGCCCGAGGCGGGCTTGCTCGCATTGGGTTGGAGGAGGAGGAGCAGGAGCAGGAGGAGGAGGAGGAGGAGGAGGAGGAGGAGCAGGAGGAGCAGGAGGAGGAGGAGGAGGAGCAGGAGGAGGAGGAGGAGGAGGAGGAGGAGGAGGAGGAGGAGGAGGACGCCATCGACAGGGAAGGTGAGGGCCACGAGGTCCGCCCCTCACTCTTATCCGCAACTGCGGGGTGCTGCGTATTCCCCCTGTAGAGGGACAGGCCCGACTTAGCGGTAGGGAGCGAGTGCAGCTTCAGGGTGATGTCCCGTCGCCCGGGGGCCGTGCAGGGCGATGCTCCCCTCAACCCCATACCTGGACCTGCCTGTGCGTCCCCCCGACAGGAGCAGGAGGCTGTCGAGCAGGATGGCTCTGTTCGGCCACGCGCGCAAAAGGGGGGATAGGGGGAGGGGAGAAGGCTTCCTAAAAGGAGGCTGCCTCACAGAAGGAGCGGGCCTCGATTGTAGATGTAAGGCCCATGCCTTCTATGAAACATTCTCCTGAGAAGCCTCCCGCCCATGGCCCCTGCCCCTGCCCCCCCCTCTGCGCGCCGTCAACCTGTAGGATGAACGCTGGCCTGTCCCTCCACAGGAGGAATGCTCAAACATAGTTTTTAAAGTAGCATGGAGACGATGTCTGCGTATGTTTGTCAATTTTTGATGTTACGATTATTCTTTATTGCAAAGGCCTTACGGCCGGTGCCGCCGACCCTGAAGACGGCGACGACGAGGACGACGAGGATGTTGAGGAGCAGGCTCCTGGGGTTGGGTGTTTTGTGGGAAGCTCTTGGGGTCTGCTTTGGAGGCTCGTGGGAGCCTCTTGAGGCTACTTTGGGGTATATTGGAGTCTTCTCGGGGTGGTTCTTAGGGGCAACTGGGGGCTTCCTGAAAGCATCTGAGGCCGAGGGTCCGGGTCCCCCGTCTGGGCTCTTCTTTGGAGCCGTCTTGGGGGCCTCTTCGGTTGTCTTGGAGGCCTCTTGGTCGGTCTCGTGGCCCTCTTGAGTCGTTTTGGAACTCTTGGAAGCCTCTTGGGCCATCTTGGGGAGGTCTTGGGGGCTTTTCGGTCGGTCTTGGATCGTCGGGAAGTTGACAAGGTGACAACCTTCGTGATTTTTACTTGGAGGCTTCTTGGAAGTCCTCTTGGAGGCTCTTGGGGCAGTGTGGAAACCTTTTGTGCCGTCTGGAGGTTCCTTTGACGACTTATACCGATGCTTCAGCGATTTGGAACCCGCGAAGATCGTCGTGGGGACATCTTGGAGCATTTTTGCCGCGTCGGCTTTTCTTGGCCGCCGAGCCGCCCGATGGGGAGTCGTACCTGCCCCACGTCCTCCCCAGGACACCCCAGGGACCGGACCCCATCCCTGGGACCCCCCCCACCCCCTTGCGGGGAAGGGATCAAAGAGAAGGGGCTTCTCTTCGACTCAGCTACAACGTTGCTGAATTTCGCTGTGGCTGGCGCGCTCGAGGAGGAGGGCCCGGTGAAAGTGGGGGGAGCGGCGACGAGCCTAGTGAAAGGGTGAGCGGCGAAGGCGATCACGACGACGACGACGACGACGACGACGACGACGACGACGACGACGACGACGTCGACCACGACGACGACGACGACGACGGCGACGACGACGACGACGAGTCAAACGGAACTGCCTCTTCTACACGCTGACAGGGTCAGCACGTTAACGAATATTCCCAACCCTCCTGCGTTGGGTTCTCGTTTTGAATAGAGCAGCTGCGGTCGCGACTCCTCTCCTCTCCTCTCCTCTCCCGCCCCCCCCTCCTTTCCTCTTCCCCCCTGCTTCCTACCTCGCTTGCTCCTGCGTACCATTTTGTCTCCTACCTCACCACCCCTGGGGGGCTGCGATCTGCGAAGCTGTCGCCACTTCCGAGGGCTGCTGGGGGGCCCAGCGGAGTGGGGTCATACGCAGATTCAGATTCGACCTCGCCATCCCTGGGGGGTGCGATCTGCGAAACTGTCACCACTTTCGAGGGCTGCTGGGGGGCCCAGCGGAGTGGGGTCATACGCAGATTCAGATTCGACCTCGCCATCCATGGGGGGCTGCGATCTGCGAAACCGTCGTCACTTTCGAGGGCTGCTGGGGGGCCCAGCGGAGTGGGGTCATACGCAGATTCAGATTCGACCTCGCCATCCCTGGGGGGCTGCGATCTGCGAAACTGTCGCCACTTTCGAGGGCTGCTGGGGGGCCCAGCGGAGTGGGGTCAGACGCAGATTCAGATTCGACCTCGCCATCCCTGGGGGGTGCGATCTGCGAAACTGTCGCCACTTTCGAGGGCTGTTTGGGAGCCCAGCGGAGTGGGGTCATACGCAGATTCAGATTAGACCTCGCCATCCCTGGGGGGGTGCGATCTGCGAAACTGTCGCCACTTTCGAGGACTGCTGGGGTGGCCCAGCGGAGTGGGGTCACACGCAGATTCAGATGAGACCGCGCCATCCCTGGGGGGGCTTCGAGCTGCCTAACTGTCACTAATTTCGAGGGCTGACGTAGGCCCAGCGGAGTGGGGTCATACGCAGATTCAGATTAGACCTCGCCATCCCTGGGTGGTTGCGATCTGCGAAACTGTCGCCACTTTCGAGGGCTGCTGGGGAGCCCAGCGGAGTGGGGTCATACGCAGATTCAGATTAGACCTCGCCATCCCTGGGGGCTGCGATCTGCGAAACTTTACATCACTTTCGAGGGCTGTTGGGGGGCCCAGCGGAGTGGGGTCATTCGCAGATTCAGATTAGACCTCGCCATCCCTGGGGGTTTGCGATCTGCGAAACTGTCGCCACTTTCGAGGGCTGCTGGGGGGCCCAGCGGAGTGGGGTCATACGCAGATTCAGATTAGACCTCGCCATCCCTGGGGGGCTGCGATCTGCGAAACTGTCGCCACTTCCGAGGGCTGCTGGGGGGCCCAGCGGAGTGGGGTCATACGCAGATTCAGATTAGACCGCGCCATCCCTGGGGGGCTGCGATCTGCGAAACTGTCGGAGGGCTGCTGGGGGGCCCAGCGGAGTGACGTCATACGCAGATTCAGATTACCCCCCATTCCATCTTTCTCCTGCCCCTCGTTCCTGTCCCCGTTATTCTTCGAGCCTGGAGCCTCAATCCTCGTTCTTTCGATCGTCGTGCTGTGAGTCGTGCAACGCATGCGCATCCCATGTAGTTTGCGCAGCAATGCACCGCGTTTACACTGTCGTTGTTCCTGCTAATGTTTGCCTACTCCTCTTGCCACTTGATGCACATGGGTTGGGTACGTCGCAGGGTAATGTATGTTTCGTCTAGTCCCCATGTGGGAGGACATGCCCGACCTAACTGCAGGACCGAGGTGCCATCCCACAGTCGGGCCGCCGAAGAACGGAACCCTTCCCGTTGGGGAGGGGCGCAGTGTTCCTCAACGGTTCTGCCGTTTTTTGGGGGGCGTTCCTTAATTAGGTCGACTGCGGAGAAGCGCATCCGATTTCCATTCGATTCGATTCTATTCGATCCCAGACCCCTTCGGGGAAAGAAAAAATCAGGGCGGGAGGTTCTTCGCTATTCTCTGCCTCCAGGGGCCCTCTCTGGGCCTCGGGAGCGTCAGAAAACGATTCAGGCTGCCACACGGGCCCCAAGGAATTGGTCGAGACCCCAGGGGGGTCGACGTCGTCAAAAAATCATGACGTCGGGGGTCTGCCATTTCGATGGCCTCCGATTCCGATTCGATTCGGCTCCGGATCCCGATCTGGGCTCCGATGTCTCCGTGGAGGCCTACTGGCCTGCCGATGTCCGCCGACTCGCCTTTCCCCAGCTCGGCTGCCGATGTCTCCTCCGATCCGACTTGTGGCGGTTGCCGACCCGACTTGTCGATTCGAGTCTGGGCTCTCCCTGCCCCGGCCAAGCTGCCCCCGGCGACGCCTGTGGGCCGCCCTGGCCCGTGATCGGGCGGCGGGCCACGAGCGGACGGGGCCAGGCCGGGGATTTCTCTATCCCCAGGCAGGACCGCGCCGCGGGAAGGTCGGGGCGAGAGTGGGGCCTGTAGGGCAGGGCTGGGCCTAAGCGGTGTTTTTGGTGATCTCGTGGGCCGTCTTCGTTTCGATTTCGTTTTGCGGCAGGGGCGGATTCGAGACAAAAGCGAGGGCGAGGGAACACGAAAACAGAACGAAAACGAAAAGCACCGTTTAGGTTCAGCCCTGCTATAGGGGGGGAAAGGGTAGTCTTGGGGGTTGGTCCCGGGGGGGGGGGGGTCCCAGGGAGGGGGGGGTCCCGGGTCAGAATGCCACCCTCTCGGGGACCGTGGCCCACCCTCTCCCTCCCAGGGGCATGTCCGTTTGGCGCCGGGTTCGCGGCTCCAGGGTCCCCGTTTTCCGCTCCGACCACGCGGAGTTCCCGCCAGCAGTGCGACTACAGTGCTCAGGGGCCCAGCGGTCACGTTGGTCAAGGCGGTCATCTCGAGTCGTCTCGATTGGACCTGTGATGGCACAGCGAGCCACGGCCACGCGCGATGGGGGGTAGGGGTGGAGGGAAAGCTTCTTAGAAGCACCCCTGCTTCTTAGAAGGCCTCCTCCTCCTCCTCCTCCCTCCTCCTCCTCCTCCTCCTCCTCCCTCCTCCTCCTCTCTCTCCTCCTCCTCCCTCCTCCCTCTCCTCCTCCCTCTTCTCTTCCTCCTCCTCCTCCTCCTCCTCCTCCTCCTCCTCCTCTCCGTCTCATCCTCCTCCTCCTCCTCCTCCTCCTCCTCCTCCTCCTCCTCCTCCTCCCGCGGGCGCTGTCTGTAGTCGGGGGTGGACAGACCCCACCCTGAGACGTCGATTCGTGAATTGTCCGTTTTCGGTTCTCGAGAGGGCGCCGCGACCGGCATTTCCCCGGCTTGCGCCCGCCAGGTTTGGGCCCGAGGTCGTTTTCACTGAACCACGCGTTACTAAAGGGGGATTCTGTCCACCCCCGATGTAGATGTAAGGCCGACGTCTTCTAAGAAGCATTCTCCGTCGAAGGAGCCTTCCCCCCTCCCCCTGCCCCCCATGTGCGCGCCGCCCAGAGCCAGAGCTCGCAGTTCGCAGCATCGATCGCTCAGGCGATGGCCGCCCACCACGACAGCCGACAGCGCGGTGCTCGGTTCAGTCGACGGGCCCCCCAGCCGGGCTCTTTCTACGACATGGCGGTGTTCGGCCGTGCCCCCGGGCCAGTCTCCGTCGTCGTCGTCTTCGTCGTCGCGTCGTCGTCGTCGTCGAAATGCCAGCCACATGCAGCCGATTCGCTAAACCCCTCGACGCTTCGTCCTCCCATTTCCCCTTCCCGTCTCTCTCCCTAATTGCCCCCCTCCTCCTCCTCCGACTTCGACGGGCCCAATCCAAGACCCTCCTCCTCCGCGCCTCTCATCTTTCCACCCACCCCGACACGTGGAGGCAGAATGGCGGTTCAGCGCCGCGTGATCGCCGTCGTCATCAGGGCCTTCGCCGCCGCCGCCCCCGCCGCCACCGCCGTCGCCCTCGGCGCCGCCATCGGCGTCGACGCCGTCTCTTCCCCCCTCTCCGCCCTCCCACCCCCCACCAACCCAGCACACCGACTTCAGCACCCGGCTTCCGACTCTCCATCTTCCACCTGCACCTGTCTCGACCTCCAGCGTCCACCAGCCCAGAGTTCAGCACCCCGACCTCGGCAAGCGAGGACAGCATGCATGGAGGGCCCCGGCCCCCCCCCCGCCCCCGGCGGATCCGCGCGCTCGCCTCGCTCGCCTCGCTCGCCTCGCCGTCGACGCCGTCTCTTTCCCCCCTCGGGGCCGTGCACCACCTCCTGCAGCGTGAGGAGGCACGCCTGCAGACCGTCTGCTGCGCCGCATGCTGCGAATGAGCCGACTGAGGATCGGCTCACAGCGTCCAGCAAGTGGCACACCTCTTTGCCGGCGCGGCGGCGTGGTCCCCGTCGTTCGACGCCGCCCGCTGCCGCCGCCGCCGTGGCTGCCTCGGGCCTGCCGCCCGAAAGGCCGCCTGGCACATCGGGAACCACTTCGGGCACCGGTGGAGCGGCCCCGCGGCGGCCGCCGCGGGGGCCCTGGCCTCTGTGCCGCAGAGGCGCCTCCGCGCGGGCTCGTCGCCGCCGCCGCCGTGGTCGTTGTCGGTGACGTCTCTTCACTGCGGTGATGTGCCGATTTCCCACCACCACTGCCATAGGTGGGAGAGGGAGGAGTACGAGAAGAAGGAGGAGGACTCCAGGAGGAGGAGGAGGAGGAGGAGGAGGAGGAGGAGGAGGAGGAGAAGGAGGAGGAGGAGGAGGAAGGAGGAGGAGGAGGAGGACGAGCAGGAGGAGGGAGGAGGAGGAGGAGGAGAGGAGGAGGAGGAGGAGGAGGAGGAGGAGGAGGAGGAGGAGGAGAAGGAAGAGGAAGAGGAGGAGGAGGAGGAAGAGCAGGAGCAGGAGGAGGAGGAGCAGGAGGAGGAGGAGCAGGAGGACCTCCCCGTCCCCCATTCCCACCTGTTGCAGTGGTGGTGGGAAAAAGTGGCCCACCGTGAGGCACCTCCCCCCCAGCAGGCGGCACCCGGGTCCCGGCCGCCCTGGGGGTCCGTGCCCGGCCCTGGGGGGCCTTCGCTCTGGGCGCGCGGGGCCGAGTGCCCCTGTCGGGGGGGGAACAAAAAGTGGCATCCCCCCCTGCTGCCAGCGCCCCCCTCTCGTTGTCCCTCGGCCTGCCTGCTCCGAGGGCCGCGGTGCGGTCGGCTGCTGCGCAGCTCCCGCGCCCTCGAGGAGGCGGGCGGCGAGCGGAGACGGCGGAGAACAGGGGAACAAAAACTCACACAAACATAAAAACTCGGAGGTCCGCGCGGGCCTCCGAGTTTTTACGTTTGTGCCATTTCTTGTTCCCCCAGTCGGGGGGGGGGCCTTCCCTGCGTGGCGGCGCGGGCGGGGCGCGCCCCGCACGGCCGCGGGTGCACCGCGGCGGACGCTCCGAGGAGAGGGAGGGCCCCCCCCCAAGGGGCCCCTCCATGTAGTCATCGGTACCGTGGAACCGACCCTCATCCCCATCCTCATCCCCGTCGAGAACCCCACCAAAGTACCACCCCGGTTGGGGACACGCCCCTCGAAACCCGAAGGGAACAGTCCATCTCCCCATCTAGGGGGGCATTTCGGCCAGTGGGGCCCAGGCCACCCCGCTGGGGATGGGGGTCGGATAAACGATGCTCTAGTCAGACAGGTTAGTCAGAGCCCCGAATCATCAGGGGTAACTCGGGTCAGGGCTAACTCGGGTTCGCTTTTCGGGATTCCGAACCCGAGTTACCCCGGGCCCGAGTTACCCCGGGTAACTCGGGCGTCCAGAGCCCCAACTCATCAGGGGTAATTCGGGTCAGGGCTAACTCGGGTTCGTTTTTCGGGAATCCAAACCCGCGTTACCCCGGACCCGAGTTGCCCCGGATGACTCGGGCGCCCAAGTCAGACAGGTCAGACAGGTCCGCTCGTCGTCGTCTCCGAGGCGGAGCCTTGTCCATGGTCACTGCCCGGGGGATCGACGGCTCGACCTCCGGGGCCCTCGGCGGGCGGTGGGCACGTCGGCCCGTGCGGGGGCCAAACGGATCCACAGCCACCGCCTGCCGAGGCCCCAGAAGGTCGATCCCCCAGGCGGTGGTCATGGGTACTCCAGATTTCGCAACAAAAGGGAGGGGGATCTGGACCCTCCAAGACAAGCCATTTCAGACCTCCCCCGTGGGAGAACCCTCCAAAACATCGTCCCCAGACCCCCCAGGCCCTCCAAGGTAGCCTGGAAGAGACCCCCCAGACCCCCCTCCCTTTGTTACGAAATCTGGAGTAAATCCCCGCCTCGTATCGCCGTGCTTCTTCAGCGAGAGAGCGAAGCGGCATAATCATAAGCGTTCGGAGGTGCGCGCGGATGTCTCGGATTGGCGCTGGGCCCCCCTTGGCGGCGCCTCCGGCGCCGCCCTTTGAGTGTTCCGCGAGCCAGGGAGAGTGGTTGCGCGGGCCTCCCAACAGTTGTGTTCTTATGCCGTGCTCTGGGAGGGGTCGAGGGCTTCTCCTGCTCCTCCTGCTGGCGCCCCTCCCCTCGCCACTGTGCGAGCCTCCTTCCTTCTCCGCCCCCTCTCCTCGTCTCTTGTCCTGCAGCCAGGCCGAGGCATAAGATCGAGGTCGGTTCGGGGAGGATACCCTCATGCCCTGCGTGCTCGTTGGGTGTTCTTGTGCATCCTGCGGGGGGGGGTGTACCCTTGGATGTTCCGTTCGTTTTGGCCGACGGAGGGTTTCGTGTTCTCGAGGGACGTTCTTCTGGCCCAGGCCCGCCCGACTGTCTAGTGGAGCCATGCATCAAGAGACCGGATGCTCTTCGTCAGGGGACCCTGGGTTTCAGGAGGGGGAAAACACACAGACACAAGTAATCGTCGATTACCAGGAAAATATTGGAACATGTGGGAATTGAGCGGGGAGACAAAAACTTAGAAAATATGGGAAATCATTCGATGTGTGTGTGTATTTATTTGTGTGTCCTTGGGCCCCTTGAGTTTCTCCGCTCCGCGCGGTTCGAGACCCTGCTGCGTCCGGGGTGCTCTGGGCTGCCCCCCAGTCGCACTCTTCGCGCGCGGGCCTGCGGGGCTGGGGTTCTCGCGGGGGCTTCCTGCGGCCACGTCCGCACTGCACTCCCTGCCCCCTTTGCACGGCCAAAAGATCGAGGCCTCCTAGATGGGGTCGGAGCAGATGGGGTCGGAGGATCGCGCAGCATCGTCGATGCATCGGCGATGCGGCTCGATGCGGAGCCCAAGTTTGTCCACGCTGGCGTCGCCGATGCGTCACCGAAGTCGCCGATGCATCGCCGATACATCGGGGATACAGTGACGTTGCGGCGCGATCCCTCGACCCCATCTACTCAGACCCCATCTAAGAGGCCTCTAGAAGACGGGGAGGGGCGGAGGCGGAAACCTCCTCCGCCCGCGGTCCTGGCTCCTATGCTCCCGCAGCGGCCCCCCCTCCCCTGGCCAGGCAACATGGTTGGGCCAAGGCTCGGCGAGCACTTAGCGCGGGCCTTGGCAGGGGTCGGCGTGTGTGTGTGTATGTGTGTGATTGTGTGATTGTGTGTGATTGTGTGTGTTTGTGTGTTTGTGTGTTTGTGTGTTTGTGTGTTGTGTGTTGTGTGTGTTGTGTGTGTTGTGTGTGTTGTGTGTGTTGTGTGTGTGTCGGTGTGTCTGTGTGTGTGTGTTGGCGTCCGCCGGCGAGAAGCCAGCCCAAGACCAGCCTTTGATCGGGCATGCTCTTCCGAGGAATATTCAAGAGCAGTAAGCACATAGTCTGGGCACTAGTTTTTCGTGCTGTGGCTGGCTACTGTTGAGCATCTCTCCGATCATCTTGCACTCTCTTCCAATATCCGCCTGCAGGAGGACATGCCCGCCCAAAGACCAGCCTCCAGAGACCCATCCTGGGCCCCCTCGGGGACATGCTGGGCCGCCTTCGGGGCCGTGGCCCTCGGCCCGCCTTGGTGCCTGTTGGAGCCATCTCGGGCCAAGCAAAAGGGACCCTCTGACGATCCTCGGGGTGGCCCGTCCAGCTTCCTGTGAGGGGGGAGGGGGGTTCCCTCCCGTCCTGCAGGGAAGCAGAAGTCAGGAAGGAAAGAAACACACAGACACAATTAATCCTCGATTCCCCAGAAAATATGGGAAAATATGGGAAGTGGGGGAGAAGAAAGAAACCCGGAAGGTATGGAAAAATATGGGGAATCTTTTTATTTGTGTGCATTTATTTGTGTGTCCTGGGGCCTCTTAAAGAACTGGCTGTGGCAGGGGGGGGAGGGGACACAACCCGCTATACCACCTCCGCCGAGAGGGTTGGCAGGATTTGGATCGTCCTCGGCCCGCGGGCCTCCCGGTCCTCTCTCGGGAGGGGATAAACCCCACAGACACAATGAATCGTCGATTCCCCAGAAAATATGGGAAACTACGGGAAGTGTGGGGGAAGACAAGGACCCAGAAAATGTAGAAAAATATGGGGAATCCTTTTATCGGATTCCTCGGATCGGCGCTGGAGGACGAGGGTCAGGAGGGAAACACACACACACACACAGAGACACAAGTAATCGTCGATTCCCCAGAAAATATGGGAAGATATGGGAAGTGGGGGGGAGGACAAAGACCCAGAGCACGTGGAAAAGTATGGGGAATCCTTTTATTTGTGTGTCCAGTTGTTTTGTGTGTCCCAGGGCCCCTTCACCCTCGTCGGCCAGACGCAGAGGGGGGTTAGGGGGAGGGGGGGAGGCTTCTCAGAAGCATCTCCGCCTCTTAGGAGGCGCGGGCCCTCTCTGCAGATGGGAGGCCCGCGCCTTCTAAGAAGCGGCCTCCTCGTGTCAGGCGATCGCAAAGATGGATCAGGGGGGCGTGGATTAGCGACGGGTACCGTTTCCATGGGAAATCGCGGAATGCCGCCGCCGGATCAGGCGGCACCCGCCGCATTCTGGGCAGAGCACCTTCCCCTATGCATGGATTTGGCGACCGCGCGCCAAGTCCATGGATCGCTAATCCATGCTTGCGCGCCCCCGATTGTACAGAGGCCGTCCCCCCTCCCCCATACCCCCCCCTTGTGCGCGCCGCCAGCTCGTGCCGGGAGCGGCGGGGATGCGCGGTCGGCGACTTGCCGTGCCCGGGATCCCTGTGGCAGGGTCCCGGGCGCAGGCCGCCGCCGTGCCCGCCGTTCCCCCCCCCCTTCGGGACGTGCTCCCGGCCCCCTCGCGCGCTTCCCCGCCCCGCCCTTGCCGCAGCACCCCCGCCCTCCATCTCTGCCTCCTGCTCCTCCTGCTCTTCCTGCGCTCGAAGAGGAAAAGGCGCCATAATCATAAAAGTTTGGCGCTCCGCGCGGATTTCCCATTCCTCCACCTCTGCCTCCTGCTCCTCCTGCTCCTCCTGCTCCTCCTGCTCCTCCTTCACACTCTCCCGCCCCGTCGTCCTGCTCTCCCTTTCCGTGCTCCTTTGTCCGTCTCCTCTTGTTTCTTCGAAGAAGAACAAATAGCATGAACATAAACTGTTGGCGCTCCGCGCGGATTTCTCGGGTCCGCGCTGGGGCCCCCTGGCGGCGCTTCCAGCGCCGCCCCCGGCGCGCTCCGCGCGCCAGAGAGGCGGGTCCAGCGCAGATCCAAGAAATCCGCGCGGAGCGCCAACAGTTCATGTTTATGCTGTTGTGTTGTTTCTCTCTTCTCCTTCTTCTTCTTCTTCTTCTTCTTCTTCTTGTTATTTGTGTATTCATATCCTCCTTCTTCTTCTATTCGCAACATCCCGCCCCCTCGTCCTCCTCCCTTCTCGTGCTCCTTTGTCCTCATCCCCTTCCTGCTGGCCTTTCTGGCTTCGTCCTTCTATCAAGCCGTGCCTGTGGTGGGATTGTGCAGCTCGGACCTACTGACCTGGTGCCGCCTGGGGCAAAGAGCCAGGACCAATCAGGGAGTGAAATCATGCAGCCCAGGCCCAGGCCGGGCCGTGGAGAAGACCTCTCGGGGGACAGTGGGAGCGGCGCCGGAGTCCGGCCGAGGGTCTCCCCCTTGGTCCTGCTTCCGGCCTCTCCGCCCCTCCCCGGCCCCGAAGCTGCTGGGAGGGGGGGGACCGCCTTTCCCCGCGCGGGGGTGCTGGCCACCTCGATTCCCTCCCTGCGGGGTGCCCGCGAACCCCAATCGTGACGCAGCGGCATGTGCGCGCCAGCGCGGGCGCAGCAGCAGCCTCCCGCCCCCCGTCTTTCGGGTGTTCGGTTTGGGGACATTCCTGGTGTCCACCTTCAAGCAGTGGCGAAGCGTCCTGGCTCGCCTATAGGCCTACCAAACAATGTTCTAAGAACCGATTGTGGTTTCCACGAAATGTTCTTAGAACATTTCTGGCGGAGCCTGTCTTGTTTTATCACATCGGGCTTATGTTCTAGGAACACTGGCTTTGTTCTTAGAACACTTCTGGATTCTAAGGGCATTTCGTGGTAGGACTAGAGGAATGCCGGGACAGTCGGTCCCTGCTCAAGTACAGCCGATTTCGTTGAGCAGGTCAACCTTGCCAGAACAAGAGTGCCGTTGTGTCCTGTGTTTATCGACCCATGCATGCCTTTACACTCCTACAGTGGAGACCCATGCCAAGAAACACCCTGCTTGCCTCCAGGGCACCCTGGGTCCCTTGGGTTTCCATGCTTTTGCCATGGAAAGCGTGCCGTCCCCACACCAGACATCCATGAACGTCCTGGTGTCTCAGGGTTGGGTTTCTTGTGGAAGGTTTCTTGTGGACTGGTCTCCACTCTGTGGCGACGTGGCCTTCTGAGGGGCCTCGTGCCCTCTCGCGTGTCTCCTCCAAGCAGGACCCGCCACGCAAGCCACGCCGCTCGCTCGGCCAGGGAGCCCAGGGGCGTCGAGATCTACAACGAGCGGCCTGGGCAGACGGAGCGACGAGGAGCCCGCGCCGAAGCCCCCCGCAGAGGCACAAGCAATGACATACGCGCGAAGATTGAGAGGTCCGCGCAGATTCCTCGGATCGGCGCTGGAGGACGAGGGGGCGGGATGATGTGAATAGAACAAGCAAACAAGGCGAAGGAGAAGAAGAAGAAGAAAAAGAAGAAGAAGAAGGAGAAGAAGGATGATAATAATAATAATAGTAATACTAATAATCATAATAATAATAATAATGATAATAAAGAAACAACACAACTGCATACACATGAACTGTTGGCGCTCCGCGCGGATTTCTTGGATCTGCGCTGGACCCGCCTCTCTGGCGCGCGGAGCGCGCCGGAGGCGCCGCCGGGGAGCTCCACTGCCGACCCGAGAACTCTGCGCAGACCTCAGATTTTTTCTGTGTATGCTACTGCAGCGGGCCCGGCTTGCTCCTCCCTCCTGCCGTCGCCAGGCGCTTCCTCCCTCCCCCCCCCCTCTTGCATGGTGGCCGCGTTCGCGTTCGAGCATTTTCCAAGGCCGCACCGCCAGCGCAATCACTCTGCCCAGCCGCCAGCGAAAAAAGTGTATGTCACTGCTTGCTCCCCTGCCCCAAGCAGTGACGAAGCGTCCTGGCGTGCCTACAGGCCTGCCAAACAATGTTCTAAGCACCTTTCGCGGTTTCCACGATATGCTCTTACAGCATTTCTGGCTGAGACCGTTTTGGTTTAACACATCGCGCTCATGTTCCAGGCACATTGCCTTCTTTCTTGGAACATCTCTGGATTCCCAGAACACTTCGTGGTAGGCCCATGGGACTGCCGGGGCGGTCGGTCCCTGCCCCCCTGCCCCGCTGCCCCGCCCGGCGGCCTGCGGCTCCCGCGGCCCTCCCCCCCACCGAGTGCCCCTCGGCCCCCCGTGCGGGCAGGGCCGCCGGCGGCGACGGCTCCTGCGGCCTGCCCGGCGGAAGGACGGGGCCGCCGCCCGGCGGTCGGGGGCGGTCAAGAGTCGAGTCGGAGATCGACGACAGAGGCGATCTGCCTCAGAGGTCGTGGCCTCGACGAAGAAACAGGAGTAATCCTATGGCTTCGCAACTCTAGGCGCTTCGCGTAAAGAGGGGGAGGATGGAGGAGGAATCGCAGGAGGAGGAGGAGGAGAAGGAGGAGGAGGGTCAGGAGGAGGAAGGAGGAGCGGAATGCGGAAAAGAACGAGGAGGATGGAGCGGGAGGAGGCAGCAGGGAGGAGGAGGAGGAGGAGGAGGAGGAGGAGGAGGAGGAGGAGGAGGAGACGGATTGCAGTGTGCAGTGTAATGTTGATGCCCTTGAGGTTAGGCATAGCCATTTGTGTCGGGTGGGGCGCTTGGGCGCACCCACGCTATCGAGGAGGTGCTGATGAGGATTGGAAAAGTCCCACCTTCCGTTAAAGGGTACCACGTACTGTGCGACGCACCTATAAGTAGCTCCTCGTACGCGCCTGCCGTAAATCTTTAGCAGACGCCTGTGCCAGCTCAAGGTGGAAGGCACACCCACCGACGGCTATGTCCCGGTGACAACGGGGTCTCGCGGGAAACGTCCCTGCGGGCAGCCACGCTCCGTTTTCCCAGACCGTAAGGAGGAGGAGGAGGAGGAGGAGGAGGAGGTGGAGGAGGAGGTGGCGGAGGAGGAG